AGTGTTTTACGCTTTTACTCAAAGCACTCTAGAGTGAACGCACTTTAATAATCCGTGCAACTGTACAAAATCTAAGTAGTACGTAATTTGTACTAAAAGTGGACCAGAAGCAAGACGGTATTGAATGCTTCATTTGTATCAATTCAATTAAATTTGCGTATCGCATGCACGATTTACTAAATGCACCTAAACATCACTATTTAGTTTGTACAGTTGCACGGATTTGACTCTAGTCAAACGAAATATTGAATGTTGGTTATTTTTACAGTTTTATGATAATTTGAATGTCCAATATAATTATTTTACAGTACATTTAATGTACGATGCATACTAGCGTTTAAATGAGCATAATAGAATTAAAACCAATAAAAAAGTAAAAAATTTCGAGTTAGTTACAGTGTTTAGCATTGAAAATGATTTTGTAGCTTCATATTTTTTTAATAAAAGTAAAATACATTTAAACTAATCACTTATACCGTTAAGTGGTGCCAATGCCGTCTATTTTACAGCAAAGAAACACAACTTTGTTTATTATTTGCCATGTAGATATTTGCAAAAATTCTGACCACTTACATGTCATATGTAGCTTCATATTTTTTATTAAAAGTAAAATACATTTAAACTAATCACTTGTACTGTCTGATTGATTAAGTTAAGTGGTGCCAATGCTGTCTTTCAATTTCATGTTATTACACCAAAGAAACATAACTTTTTTTTTTATTATTTGCTGCTATATATTTGCAAAAATTCTGACCAATAAGATATGTCAATATGGATAAAATATGTTTGTGCCTAATCTAGACCACAATGCAATGCAAACTGCTATCGTTCAGAAAAAGGACAAAGGGATTGAATGTATCTCGGCTTCAATAGAAAACAAGAGGAAAAATGTATTCACATAAACTTAACAAGAACGTCTTTCATTTTTCGGGCTGAGTCTGTTCTTATCTACCTGGTACTTATATTTTGCCAAATATCGACTTATTGATATTTTGGCTCGGAAACGAAAGAACTGCAGGCGAGGATCTTGGGAAACAATATTTATCATATAATTATCTATGAAATACCTTATTTCTCCATTTCGTAAAATTGATATTTTCACTAGTGAAAATAACATGTTATTTTCACTAGTGAAAATAACACATTCGAGGTTTCTCTATATAATGCAAGTAAGAAAAAAAGGCATTTTACGACATAATTTGCTTTCATATAAAATTATATGATAAATAGAATATTACATGTTCGCTTGTGGATACGAATTTTATCTTCTCCTGTTGAAAATCTCTCACCCGTTCGCTACGATCACTCGTGAGAGATCTTTTCAACACTCGAAGATAAAATCCGTATCTCCGCGCGTCCATGTAATATTCTCTATATAATCTTAATGTATTCTTTTACTTCCCCAAAGCCTCTTCCCCAGAGCCTCGTCTACAATTTTTTCCCATGTTCGGCTTGACCAAAATACATCTATTTCAAAGGAGACTACGCCGACTGAAAGGGGCTAGGTTACACTGAATTTTGAAAATTAAAATTTCACTTATTGGATTGACCTTGGATAGGAGTCTAAATAAAACCAATATTCACCACAGACTATCTTACATTATAAATCACTTTCGGTCGTGCGATCGCCATTCGACAATTGACAATCACAATTTTATCCGACAACCTTTTTGAAATAGGTATATAGCTATTTCAAAAGAGTCTGTCATTAAGGAATAAAGAACAGTTTTCCGTGTATTATACTCTGATAATTAAAAACACTTGGGATGTGGGGAGAACACGAGAGAAGCGTAGTGGTTTCCAGATTCTCGAGTGTTCTTTCCACATCCCAAGTGTTTTTAGCAGAGTGTGATACGCGGAAAACTGTTTATTATTGCTTTTATAAAATAACAAGTGCTCAAATATTCATGAGAAAAAACAGCTGAGAAAAAAGAATGACGCGAGCGTGTATTATGCTCTCATCAAGTGCGAACACGGCTTTTTGGCCAATCAGAGCGCGCGTAATATGAAAGTTATTTTATAAGATTAAATGACGAATGTCAATGGTCGAACGGCGATTGCACGACCGAAAGTAACCATGGGTTTTGCTAGTTGAAAGGCAATAATAACTTTCTTATACTGTAAGATAGTCTGTGGTAAACATTGGTTTTGTTTAGTCTCCATATCTATGCAAGGTGAATCCAATAAGTGAAATTTTGTTTATCAAAACATTGTAACCATAGTCCCTTTCGTGCAATCTACCTTTTGATAATCGCTCTTCGCCGTTCTCCCCGACAACCTGTTTCTCAAGTCGACTATTGAATTAACGCCTTCAGATCAGAAAGTGATATCACAAAAGCTAACGTACCTGTTTAGTCATGTTTTATCATAACAGCACTCACACTGAGAATATTACTTTATTCCGTGAACCTCTGAGGCACTGTCTGTTATACTTGTAATAGTCCGTCTCCATACTCACTTTTGGTCGTATCTTTCATGAGGTAACCTTTTGGAAGCCGACAATGTAACTAGACCATGACGTATGCAAATCTCTTACGTTTACCTACCTGCTCACTCGACTGTAAACAATCAAACGAACATTCAAAGAGTACAGAGTCCTTAACAGATCTTAGATTCAAGGATGCAGCAATCATATTTTGGAAGCATTGAAGCTCTAAATGATCCTAGGAATATAGAATTAATACGAAGGGCTCGAACTCCGCAAGATTCACCAAAAGAATTCCTTAAAAGGAAGAARAGAGAARRTTTTACCAGTTTACAAGAACTCAAACTTCAGGCAAATGACATAATTAAGGTCAACGTAAGTGGGAAGTGCTTTGATATTTCAACTAAAAATCTTGTCAAGTATCCRAAAAGTCTGCTATCAAATGAGGAAAAAAGGCAGGCCTTCTATGATATACATAAGAAGGAGTACTTCTTTGATCATAATCGAGTGATAGCCCAAAGTGTGTGTATGTTCTATCAGTATGGCTCCTTCGAAATTCCAGAGAATGTTCCAGAGCACTTAGTTATTGAAGAGCTAAACTTCTATGGATTGTTCGATTACTTGGATGATAGTATGAAAGCTCATTTGGGTGAAGTTCAACAAATWTCRGAGACTTACACAGCAAAGGATCTGAGAGAAAAGCTTTGGATTATGCTTGAAAGTCCAGATGGCGTTGGCATCAACGACTGCGCAAGATGTTACAACGTCTTTTCGTTGTCGTTGATAGTTTTCTCAATATTCTTGYTGTGCTACGCSACWTATTAYAAAGGMCATTCCCAAATTACATTGTCAAGTTTTGACAACGTAGCAGTGAACTGGCTATTGCTATCTGAGATCGTTTGTATAGGGTTTTTCTCAATTGARCTTTTYCTTCGCTTCATCGTCAGTCATGAAAAACGAAGGTTCTTCTTCTCGTTCTTAAACATCATTGACTTCGTAGCTATAGCTCCCTTTTATATAGGAATGATCCTTGATGTACAGCATATCACTACACCATTGACAGTTCTACGYGTCCTAAGAATCGGGAAAATGTTCCGTGTGCTTAAAATATCGCGATATAATACGAGTTTGCTAATCATTGCAAAGACTGTCAAATCAGGYCGTTGGGAYYTGTGGATGTTGTGCTTTTTACTGCTGATCATGTGTTTATTCTATGGTAGTTTTACTTATTATATGGAGCAAATATTTATGGAAGAGGAGTCTGACTTTGAAAGCATCCCTGCAGCGATCTGGTGGGCATTGATTACCTCTTTAGCGATTGGATATGGAAATATGGTACCAAAAAGCTCAGGTGCGTGTCACAAAAAAACTTTTTTTTACCTCTGCCATCGGTTAAAAACGCTGTTGCATTCAAAAAATATAGATCGTTTTAAGCTAGATTTTAGATCATTTGAGATATCGAATGAGGCTTCTTCCTGAGACTAAAATATAATTTTAATGAATGAGTGTTGCTTTTGTCCAGTGTTGTTGTTCTTGCTGTTGTTATTGCTGTTGTTGTTGTTATTGCTGTTGTTGTTATTATTGCTGCTGTTGTTGTTATTGCTGTTGTTGTTGTTATTGTTGTTGTTGTGACTTACTTACTTGAACTAACTCATACTCATGATTGTAAGCCGCGTGGCTGCTGTGCGCCTTAAATAGTGGTCCGACAATTACTTCGTTGTGAAAGCGCATTGAAACAGTGTGATAATGCGCTATATAAGACCACATATATTATTATTGTTGTCCATTGTTGTTATTTTTGCTGTTTTTGTTATTTTTTCTTTTGTTTTCGTTATTACAGTTGTTGTTAATTGTTATTGCTAATGTTGTTCATTGTAATTGTTATTATTGCTCTCGGTTGCTCTTGTTGTTATTTTATGGCTGTTGTTGTTATTATTGCTAGCTGTTGTTGTTGTTATTTGTTTCTGTCTGTTGTTGTTGTTATTATGTTGTTATTATTGCGATTGTTGTCCATTGTTGTTGTTAGTATTGCTGTTGTTATTATTGCAGTTGTTGTTGTTATTGCTGTTATTGCCCATTGTTGTTGTTGTTGGTTGTTGTTATTGCTGTTGCTATTATTGCAATTGTTGTTTTTATTGCTGTTGTTGTCCATTGTTGTTGTTGTTGGTTGTTGTTATTGCTGTTGCTATTATTGCAATTGTTGTTGTTATTGCTGTTGTTGTCCATTGTTGTTTTTTTTATTAATGATGTTGATGGTTGCTGTTATTGCTGTTGTTATCATTGCAGTTGTTGTTGTTATTGCTGTTGTTGCCGTTGTTGTTGTTATTGCTGTTGTTATTACTAAAGTTGTTGTTGTTATTGCTGTTGTTGTTGTTGTTCTTATATTCTATTATTGTTATCACTTTACTCAATGCTTGCTATTCTTTTCCCTGCTTTCAGCGGGCCGCGTAGCCGGTGCATTGTGTGCTGTATCTGGTATTGTAGTAGTTGCACCCATTCTTCCAATCATATTCAACCGCTGGACAAGATTCAATCGATTACAGCATGAAGCGAAACTTCACAAAAAATGCAAAATAGTGAATAAGAACGTCCAGCAAGAGATTGAACACTTGAACTTAATTCGAGTACACGGAGATCGAACTAAAGGGCGGTTTTTCTTTTAATGTGTAAACTGAAATGATCGGGTTAGTGACCAGAGTCCAGAATTATACAACGACAGTACGTATTCGTATATCTTAAAAAAAATGGTGGTTAATCGTAAAGAGCTCCTACGCATGAAAGTAAAAGATATTTCTTCTTATATATTAAAAGGTTTTTGTATATAGTATAGAAGGGAATTAAAAATAAAACTATCATTTCRCTGTGGGTTCAGAAATCTTATGTTTTCAAGACTTTTGGAAAGTTTTGCGATTTTGCATTGTGTAATACTCAAAACTTGGACATCTTAGGATGCCCGTAGTTACCGTACGTCTTCCGAGCTTGCGCAGTGCTTTTCGCCGTATCTTACTTATGTCGTATACAGCTATGTGAACGGATATATAGAGAGACAAATAGGAAAGTCATTTGGCTACTAAACCGCTAAGATGCCGTTCTCGTTTAAAAATATCAGGAAGTGGATTAGGGAAGAGAGTGGAAAAGCATAATGATTATGACACAATCTCGTGCCCAGCGCCCTTGTCCCTCTTACTGCGCATGCTCGACGAAAAACAAGAGTCACTGTTTTTCGTCGAGCCTGTGAGCCTGCGAGTAAGAGRGACAGTGGTTCTGGGTACGAGATTGGATTATTACAATATTTCCACCWTGCAAATTTTGTATAGCGCTATATACAAATGAATTTGTAGAAGGATTTTGTGAGTAAGATAAGTTTTAGGTCCGGCGCGATTCGTGACTGGGAATCTTTTAGGGGGTGCCAATTTGGAGTTTCTGGAAATTTGCATTTTCTGCAATCTCTTAGGATGTCGGAATAGAGGAGAAAGAGCGCATGGATATCGAYTTTCGTCTGCGTTTTGTTTTGTTATTGAATATTTTATAATATTTTATTCATTTTATATTTGGAACTGATTTAATTTACGTAGTGTCTAAACGTCAGGCAGTCGATTTTTTTGGTGAAAAGTCGTCGGAAAAACTGTAATTTCAATTCGAAAATCGAAAATCTCAAAGTGCCGTGCATGTGACTACACAAACTTGTCGAACAGTATTATTTCGGTCGTWATTGCAGTTCTTTTGTGCTATTAATTGAATAAAGCCTGTTTCGACGATTTTTCGCACAAAAAAAAAATCGACTGCCTGACGTTTAGTTCTGGGACTAATGTCAGGCTGCCTGACGTTTAGACACTCCGTTTAATTTAACAATATTTGTTGTGCAATCTCTTAAGGGTTAAAAATCATTTAGCCACGCCCTTTTAATTTTTTAAAAGAATAATTTTTTTTAAGACTTCCGAGATCTTTTAGGGGTCTTTTTGAAAATTTCCGACGAGCATCCCCGGTACTTTTACTATTTCATTTTCCAATGGTCTTTCTCCCGGAATAACCTCCTTCTAAGCACTATTCCTTTACTTTAATATCATGTTTATCAAAGTGCCAAATATCTCCAAGATATCTCCAAGATATCTCCAAGAAACTCTTCTTCTAAACTCATCGCCATATAATTTCAGTTTCTCTACTAAATTAGCGGAAGCAATTGCAATTATGCTAAATGTAAATAGAAATTACAGTGTGCGGACTATTACAGAAACTTTTGGCATTTTTCCTAGTATCGCTTACATCAACGTGAGAACGCCATGATCTAATTGGATGAAGAATTCAATGTTATCTAATTTATCAGGTTTCCTCGATTTCCGTAGTAAATAGACTCTTAAGACGAACAAGATTTGAGCGAAAGAAAAAATAATAATTTTGACTGCTACTAATCTCTGAAAACTTAGAGGCACTTTTGGGGATAAATGCTTGTTGTCGGAAAAACTCGTGTTATCTGATTTGTCACGTTTACTTAAGTTTCCTCGATTTCCGTAGTAAATACACTCTAAAGATCCATAATATTTGAGCAAAAGAAAAAAAATGATAATTTTGACTTCTAGTAATCTATGAAAAGAAGCACTTTATCGGGAGAAATGATAGTGTTGTCGAAAAAACTGATAGATATTTTAGTGGCACAAAGACTGATGTGTCATTCATGTTCTTATTGTTCATGGTTTGTTCTCCACATTTCCTTAAACAATGCGGTCGTGTTTTAGATTTTTCATATATGGAAAATGAGGTGACTTCGAATATCCATTTGCAATCMGTTTCCGTGGAACAACCACGTAGGAGTGAACGTGCGGGCCAAAACGGCGAAATAACTGCATCTCTGGAGCGTGGGCCGTAATAAAGTTTGGACACTCCCTGAAGCAAACGTGCAACTAACTAGAAACGTGTGTGGAACTAGCTCTGACGACCAACGTGTACGGGTTTAATGAAATAAGTAATGCCGGTTAAGGTGCACCGAGAGTGTGTGGACTGGAGTGAATTAATATATATAAGTCAATATTATTTAGCACATATATAGAGAGAGCGTGACCATGTGAATGTTCGTTCGACAAAAAGCTACCATTTAGTTAGTGCGACATGTGTGAGGTTAGCTAAAATTAGAAGTTATCTATTACTTAGTTATTTATTTTATTAAACTTTTGTTGAAACCGTGACAGCCTCAAGGTTGCATCCCCATTAAACACGTTCGTGACCCTCATTTTAATGTCTTTGAGCCATTCCTGCGTGTTTTTCTTCGAAATGAATATTGAGAACCGATCTCTCGTGTGTATGCGCTTCTTGATGTTGATCACCTGGTAATGTTTAAAGTCYGACAATGAGGACTGGACGGGATGTCAAGTCCGCGCAATTAGTTCCAGTCCGAGGCGTCAGCCGTCGGTCAGTAACTTGAAAAAGGTAGAAGTAACTKGAAATAAGGTAGAATACAAGGTACGAGTACTTCCTCTGGTTTCAATTTACTTCACGTGGTACAAATTACAATCAGGGATTGGCTGGATACCTCATGAATAATTAATGAGTATGASAATGTATTTTCGCTGACAACCTGCTAATAATAGAGATGGTTCAAATAAGGAGATGTGGACGGCAAAGACGATTGTATTGGAACTAGGACTAATTTATCAAAAATCTCAAGTAAGAAAGACAGACGACGTTTCGTTGTCAACACATCAACATCTTCAGGTGTAGTACAATTCAATATAATGAAAATAAAGCTATGCGAATATATAGCGTCCTACTGGAGCCGTTCATTGAGATGACAGCGAAAGCCAGTTTTTAATCTTATATATAAATTGCTTACCAAAAATTGCTTGTACAGCATAATACTCCAGATTCGAATTCATAACGAAAAAACGCTGCCTTATTTGATAGCCCTTTATGCATTGTTCCCATAAGACCTAAGGTAAGGCTTCTGGGAATACAGGTTTATYGAGAGAATGTAAATTGTTAGCGCTATTGTAATGACAACAGTTTTTAGGAGGAGCCGACAGGTTCCTGGAAGAAATATATCTGTTCTTATGTCCCAGCCAGCTGTAAGTCACAAAAATAGTTGCCGCGCCAGCGGGAAATTTAGGAAAAAAGAACTCTCCAGGCAAGGAATACTTCTAAGAACTTTTGCCAGGAAAATAAAAACTTCCTAACTAAAAAAATATAAGCCGTTTTGTCCATAAAAACGTTTTATGTCTTATATAAGACTTTTTTGACCTTAATTAAAGACGTTTGCCAGGAACAACATTATTTTAAAGAAGGAAGGGCGCTACATTTGCTTGTGAGATTTTCAAAAATGTAGCTCAAAATCCCTTTTCCAGGAAAAAAATCGTTCAATAACAGTTATTTAGGAGAACAGACCCCGCCGGCTCCTCCTGATTTCACCGTGCTTCCTTTTGTGCTTTGTGTTCTTTGCGTAAGAGAAACTGCCGGTCAAACAAAACAGTGGTTATTCGCTTTGAATTCAAAAATGAAGTATTCAGTATATGACTTGAAGCTATTATAACTGCAAAGCTCATTTGCTGAGCGTAAATAGGATGTTTATATTGGATTCAGCTTCTAGTTGTCAAATTGTTAGCCAATTACGTTTGAAGCAATTACTGGAATTAATCTTCCGAAAAAAAAMACAACCTTTTTGCCCGTGAGCATTCAAATATTCAGGAAGATGGCGGCTCATCCGTGCTGAACATGTATGGCAGGCAGAACATCGTTCATTAAGAATGCTTTTTGACTCAAGACAATCTCAGTCGTGGACGTAATTAAGGTATTCATCAAATTTAAGACACAAAACTCACTTTCTAGTCATACCGTAATAATCATCGTCAATCAAACATAGTGTAGTTTATGATTCGCCCAGTGCTACGAATCAATTTTTCATAACTTCAAACTTCCATCTGACACTRTTCGCTATGTTGTAATTTAACGTCACGTATATTTCATTTGGTTTTCGTTACACTGGCGTATAATTCAGACATTATCCGATGATTTACGGTTTTCTTCATTCATTTATTTTAATAAAACAATGATCCTAAGATGTGACCGTAGAAGTGGCAAACCCAGCAGGTTGCTTCAGGTATAAATATTCATCTTATGATAATCTTCCTTAGCCAATAATTGCTTTAATATAGTATGTTAGAACTAGGTTGTAAACACTAATTGATATCAGTAAAATTAGGAAACTTACATAGCAAAACTGACACTCTAATGAAAATTTTTTGCCAGGTAAGTCTTAATGAATCATGCGTAGGCACAGCAATATTGTTGATCATGAATATTTGTAGGTGTACAAAATATTTTGAATAGAGATTATTGACCATGAAATTTACCATAAATATTATTGAATGTTATATAGAGCATATCTATGTAGTATAGTCGTTTCTTTTTTTAATAGATTTTTTAAGGAGGAGTTCTTGGCATCAACATGATTTTAATTTTAATTAACATTACTAAAGTACATTTATATTTCATTTTCACAATATTATTTATTTTAATCTTTTGCTTTTCAAATTTAATTCCATATCAAAAGCAAATAGCAAAAGCTATTTCAAARTTTGTATAATTTCTTTGCAGCCTTATCTACAAAGTACTTGATACCACACCACCTAATTTTCTCTCGAGAACTCCGGGTTACTGAATGATAATAAAACTCTCCTCACATCATGAATATTAAAATTGTTTTAGTCTCATTTTAGTAATCTCTATATATTCCTTGGCAGTATCGCACGCGGCAATTCCACCTTTGGCGACAGCTGATATCAAAAAGGTACTACCTAATGTTCAAACTATTSTCTTTATATATGTTTAACAAAGCATATGTAATTTTATAAAACGAAGATAAAGCTATGAATAAGTAGAGGCGAATATCATTCTCCCTCCTGCCGATTCTATTACCGACTTGATTATTTCCTTTTTGATGTTTATGAGAGAACCGAACAATAYGTTATACTTCAAAAAGGATTGCGCATAAAAAAAAAAACATTGGTCGACAGACAGCATCGTATTTTGGCTTAAGAATTTCAATTGAAATACAAATGCAAGGACATATAAAGAAGTGGAATCAAACCTTATTTGTCAGTATTAGTGGCAAACGGATGGAAAAATGGATTAGAAAACTGATAAGATGGCTTTCATGTTTGTAAGCAAGGACAATGTCAGGTCTACATTTCATCCATTCAAATCTAGAATATGATTAATGTAGAGATTTGTAAGGTTGGGATTTCCTAGTACACGGACAGTATTTAAAGGTTTGACTGTTTTTTGTTTTGTTTTTTTACATATTTCATTAATTTAGATWAATCTTAAAGACAAAGTTTCAGTATAACTAGAAGTGCTAATACTGTTTTAATTATTTTCATTTCCCGATCCATTTATTTCTKCTTTACTTGCAGAATTTATATCAAAACCCGAATCAATAATTGTTAAGAAAACGTTAAAAAAATATATAATTTAGTTAGAATACTATGACATTCATAAAAATTTCACGCACGTATGTTGCATTTTTAACTGAGGATTTGCGTGCGTTTTATTATTATTATTATATATTTTTTCGTGTTTTATTAAAGAATTTAGACGTGTATTTTGTTTTGATAAACTCCATTTAAAATCCACACACACATYATGTAGTTCGTACAATTTTGTTTGCTTTGAAACCGTTTCGAAAAAGGTTATAAAGAACTATAGTAGTCTCTAATACCATTATTTTCAGCTGAAGTGCGTGCTCACCACGGTCAATCCATTCACCAGACTTTCTCAAAACATCCACCTCGCTGAGAAATCATTTCTTTTACTGACTTGCTACGTTTTGGAAGTGTTCATTATCTTGAAGAACATCGCAAATTAGTGTCATTCAATTGAACGAAAGCCAAGTAAATTTACCTAAGTTCATCTACTTGATTTGCGATTCTGGCATTTCTTTTGATTAAGTTTACATTTGCTGTGGTTTCAAATGAACTTGAAAAAAAGATGTTCAAAATGATGATAATCATCTCTGAAAATTAAAAAAAAATGTTTCTTATCAATTTTTTTCTCAAATTTGAACCGCAAAATGTCCACAATCTCATTTCTCACTATTTAAAGTGAAAAAAAAATGAAAAAAATGTCAAAAATTAAAATAGCTATTTAAAAAAATGCGTACCAAATTAAAGCGTATGTTGTCTTTGTCAATATAGAGGTTTATTAAGAAATTTCGACTGTTTCGTATGATCTACAGAGATTTAGACATGTTTAGACGATCGAAGACCCTGCGCGACTTCTTCTGGAATAAAACATTGAAATCAGAGACGGTGCAAACGTGGTTACACAATCGCCCTCGCCTTAGTTATAAACGTAAAAATAATCAAATWCTCGAGAATTCTCAAAAGCCAAACTTCAACTGAGTCATTGTACCTATTAGCCATTCCGGAGTTGCGCAGGGGACTGGTCACTAATCAAAGAAATATTGATCTAATCACGAAACAAACCCCACTCCATGAAAGGACACCCAAAAATTAGTAATATACTAAGTTTCAAAACGTTTGGATAAAAACTAGCTGAACAGTATTTATTCCTAGTTTCGTCAAATTAACAGAGAATGTATTGTTTTGAGGGACGCGGTCAAAATCCCCATACATTCTCTGTAAATTGCACGACTTCTCATTAATTGAATATTTGTCCATAACTTGGAACCTACACTAAAGTCGATAAAGTCTTTTTAGTGATATGGTTAGTTTTTCGATTGGCTCAATATGACAGAAATTACAATTCATTTCATAGCCCTTGGAATGGCTAATATTGAGTGATTTTGTTGTGATAATTATATATGTGAGAATATAAAAGCTATCTGAAAGAATTTG